CCCTCACCAGCGGTGTGGACATAGTTAAAGCATCAGCGGGTCATCTGGATTGGTACCCAGTGCTGTGCACGTAGTTAAGGATCAATGGGGCGTCTTGATTGGTACAGGGGTGCAGGAGACAGATAGCCCAAAGGCAAGGGGAGAAAGCACCCGTCAGTCAGCCTGGACCGTGTGCACATATGTATTGTGTGCACGCACGCGCACACACGCACGTCATCAACGGTCATTTCTGGGTTGCAGGGGGGAGGATGTAGAATCACTATTGCTTTTCGATTTTTCTCTGAGCTGTAAGATTTTTTTGTAACCCGTATATATTTCTTTTAGAATGTCGCTCCATCGCTATTACCTTTAAAAAGTTCTCCCCGAGTAGACATTTGCTCCCACTGCAGGGGACCAGAGCACGCCACCCCAAGACGTGCCTCTGGCGGACGGGCTGTTTCAAGCTCACGGCAGCCGAGAGCCGGTGATGCCGAAAAAGCTCTCCACTTCCTCCCGAAAGTGGAGTATACATTTCCCCTTGGCCAAGGAAACCTATAAAGGAATTTGTCATGCGTGAACGTGTGCCAAGACCAGGAAGACAGCTGCTCCCACGGGCAGCTCTTACCACCCCCCAGAGACTGTTATCTGCACAACCAGACAAGCCTCGTCACCCACACGCTTCTCGCTGCAGCTGCCAAATGCTTCTCCTTCGTTTAGAATGAGACGAGGTATCAGCCTCCAGCATCTGGCCGTGTCCCCTCGAACCGTGTGTGTGTGTGTGTGTCTGTGTGTGTCTGTGTACATACTCGTGTGCGTAGGTATGCCATTAGCTCGTTTTTCAATTAAATTTCCTGGGCGACGTGGCTTAATAAAAATCATCTCGCTCCCGAGGGGACAGTCCGGTCATGCGTCGTGGGTTTGTTGCATTGTGCGTTCTGCACCCAGAGTCTGGTCTCCTTTCAACACCGTCTGACTCCTTCACCCTTTTCTGCCGCCCCCCCCCCAATCCCCTCTAGTCCCCGCCGCGGTGGCCTCTGTGTCTGTGTCTGTTCGCGTGTTGCGTTCTGTTTTGTGCACCACACGTGAGTGGAATCTTGTGCTTCTTGTCCTCTTCCCTCTGACTCAGCCGTAAGGTGAACTACTGCCATTTGTAGCAACATGGATGGATCTTGAAAATGTCATGCTAAGTGCAGTAGTTTTTCTGTTAATCTGTCTTTAATCAGCTGAATTTGCATGCCCCAGCTACGGAACCTAACAGGGTGGAGGGGGGAAATATTTCCTCCCCTACACTGCT